CGAGTAATCAGTTTACTAATTTACTGTTAACAGGAAAATATCGCGCACTCCACTGAACGATGTGACGACTACTTGACCATGCTGACATCCATTGCAACGATGTTGACCGTTCCACATCTCGATACCCTAGGGACAAAGAAGCCAGTTCGGGGTGTACGAAGTTTGACACGGTTAGAATGGAAAGCCGAAGTCAGGCAGCTCTGTCTGGCAGGTATGCTGGAATTACCTGAAAGAAGAGAAATTATTTGGAAATAACAGGAATTTTGGGGAAATATTTTCCGTTACGAGGGATGTGATGAAGTTTTGTATACGGAAATAAAACAACACGGTAGGTAGTTTTCAATGACTTTATTGTTTTTTGAAGTATTCTCCACGAAAATTAATACAAATCTGCATGCGCTCGAACCAATTTTTGAAGCACTTATTCCACTCGCTTGCTGGCAGATCCAAAACGGCATTTTTGAATGCGTCAACTGCTTCTTCTGATGACTGGAACCTTTGACCGCGCTGTCTGTTTTTAATTTTCGGGAAAGTAAATAAATCGTTAGGACTTAGATCGGGACAATATGGAGGATGGTCCAATAATTCCACATTTTCTGTGCCTTATTTTTTGGGCTGTGTGCGAGCTTGCATTGTCTTGGTGGAGGATGATTCTTCCTTCGAGGTTGATCTTTCGAAGCTCGGTGATGACTTTTGGCAAGCAAATGATGGTATACCAATCCGCAGAAACAGCTCTTTGATCATTAAGAGGAATTATTGCAATATGACCCGCTTTTGACACAAATGTCGCAACTATCTTTTTCAAAACACTTCGAGAACGGATGACTTTTGTCGGCTTTTCTTCACCTTGGAACACCCAAACAGCGACTGTCGTTTATTTTCTGGTTCATAACAGTAAATCCACGATTCATCACCACTAACAATGCTGTACACATTTTTTTGAGTTTCCGGCATTGAAACGGTCAAGCGTTCTTTGACACCAATTAACCCTGGCTGCTTTCTGCTCTTCAGTCAACAGGTGGGGTAGGGGAGACTACTGAGGCTTGAGACAAGGGAGGATTGAGACACTACATTTATTTCCTAAAATCGGGTATGCAAAGCCATCTGTTGATTACTGGTTAATAACTTTAGTCAAATCCCTCACCGCTTGGCCAACGAATCGGCGAGAGTAATCAGTAGAACATTGTTGTTAGTGCAGGTGCAAAGTGGTGGCCAAAACTAAATTGTAATTTTGTGATATCGTTGTAGTTTGCCGCAAGTTAAAGTGAAAATTTGAGTTTATTGCTTAGACATTGTGACCTTAGGTATGTTGTGAATTATTTATATAGTTATACCATGAAATAGAATTTTAACAAGAATTTCAAGTTAGATTTCATGAAATGCTATATAGGGAGACATGAGACAGTTGTTTTGGGGAGACATGAGACGTCTCATCTAATCTAAAATTCCGGTTAAAAATCTGATTCACTGGATTACTACTATTTTTAAACAATTAAAAAATGCTAATCTGATTGAGAAATAATTTTAGACGATCGCGGCTTAAACACTAAACAAACTTTTGTTAGACTAGAAATTTTGAGCCCGCTTCTGAATGCAGGTCCTGGAAGACGGATTACAAAGCGAAAATGTGGTTCCTCAAGAATTCTTACCGACACACCAGAAAAAGAAGCAATAAGAGGCTGAAGCAACTGCTCGAAAGATAAAAAAAAGTTGTTCTGTTGAAGCATGACGATCTTTTATCAAGAACAAACAAACAAAAATATTTATAGAAACCTGCAACTCCACCACAGTCTTCTTCAAGTGATGAAGAGGAACAAAGCGAGCTGGGCGGAAGTAAGGAAGATATTTCAGATGTTGAAAGCTACGAAAGAAAAGTGCTTCAGATGAAAGCTCTTGGGGATGTCAAGGCCTTCCAAGTGGGAGACTTCGTTTTGGTTAAGTTTTACACAACGACTTCAACTATGTATTATGTGGGTCTGGTAATATCAAAGGAAGATGATGAATTCTTGCTAAAATTTTTACGTCGTCACGGAACCACCTGGAAATTTGTTTATCCACCAGTGGAAAATATTTCTTCAGTTCGAGAACAAGATATTATCTTGAAATTACCATTTCCAAAAAATGTAGGTGGAACCGAAAGAGTCAAATCTACTCTGACATTTGGTCTGGACCTACGTTGCTATGAAAATGTTCGTAGATTTTCTTTATTATTGTCATTATTTTTTTTAATAGACATTTTTCGTTGTTGATTAATAATTAACAAACTCCTTGCGTTGTAGATTTTCTTTATTTTTTTATTTCTTCAACAAAGAATACACGTTTCCCAACAGCTTACAGTGTCTCAGTGCTCCCTATAACTTGTCTCAACGCTCCCTTGCCTAGGGAGCCTTAAGACAATTTACACCGTTGAGTTGAAATACATTTAAACAATTTCAATAATATTTTGGAAGCATGAAAAAGTATGGCAAGTTTAGCTAAATCGCACACAATTCACTTGCCCGATATGAAATCTTTAAATTGCAAATTGTATAATGTATAAGAAATAAAATTATTTTTTTGTCTCAAGCCTCCCCAGTCTCCCCTATCCAACGAGAAACTAATCTTCTTACTCCTAATTCTTCATGTAAATTTTTTTGAATTTAGGTGTTTGAGATCTTCAAGGACGCCTCAATCTCGCGATTTGTCACATGTCTATCTTCAATGATGAGTTTGTGCACAGCATCGACGTTTTCCTGGGTAACTGCCGTTTTTTGTGCACCCACCCTAGGATCGTCGCTAAGACTCACCCGTCCACGTTTGAATTCTCCATACCAATGGGAAATTGTCGACTGATGTGGCGCTTCGTTGCCGAAAAGAAGGCATTCTTGTTGCGATAACTGTCTCTGAAGTTTGTAATAAATTATGGGGCGAAATTTTTTTCGGTTGAGTTCCATTTTTCTAATGACTTGGTGATACTTAAAAATTCACTGTACTGAGAACACTGCACGTATTGTTGTGAAACTTTGAATTTAAGTTTACTAAAGAGTGTGGTTAAGATTCAGTACTGACGTTCAATCCGCGCGGCCTACTATCTTTCTATATGCAAAACTTAAAGGACATCCCTCGTATTGAAGTTTGAAGCTTTTAAGTTGGCTGAAATAAATATACGTTGTTGAATTCCTGGTCGATTGCGGGGATCTCTAGGAAAAAGCTCAGTCATCAGTTTAGAGCTGAAACATTCAAACTTCTCACAAATCCGAGCCATGTATGTGTAGTCTTATCCTCGCCAATGAAGGTGGGACAATCCGACTAACCGGTGACACTGCCTTATTATAGAAATCCCGTTCTTTCATCGGCAAGCAGTTACTCAACCTAGGTATGTTTTTCTGACATGTTATCAACGAAACATGCTCTTGTAATCTGAACCCTATGATGACCTCTCCAAAGGAACCTAGTACAGTTTGACCAAAACAAGCAAACCCTAACAAACCATAAAAAAAATTCAATTTGTATTCATATACAGGGTAACCCTAAAGTCATGCAGCAAACGGAAGGAGGTGATACCGGGGACCATTTGCAGTCAGAAAAATCATATATGTCCTGATCCGATTATGCACGGTTTCCGAGCTGTCGCCATTTTTAGAAATTTGTGGTAAATCACTACCTTTGAGTCTGTGGTATTCTTTCTGAAGTTGTCTTTTGTTGATTTTCAATCAAATGATTCAAAAATGGGTCGCTTGAAAAGATCTATCAGCAATCGGCTAATCTGCAATTTTGTCTGTGTTCAACAAGATGACAGCATATTCATCAAGGCCTGTAAGAAAATTAGTAGGCGAACAACATGTCCATAGCGACGAAGACCTTTTCGATACTATTGCGATAATCAGATATCCTAAATAGCTTCTGTGCAAAGTAGACAAAATGCTGCATGCACTCCAAATTCTAAACTCCCATTTTTTAAGCTAACCCTTTAACTGAAATTGTCGACTTTCCAGCTTCTGGATATGATGGGGAAGCAACTAAGGCACAACAAATCCTCAAATTCAATGGAATAGTGAGAGGGAGGGCGACCGTGATTTGATTTTCGGTAATAGAAGGGTTATGGAAATCTAGCCATATTACTACAAATATTAACAAAAACAGGTAAACCAACAGGGGTAGTAAAAAAGGGATGCGTGGATGTTGCCGAACTCATTTTCCTTATGGAATTCGATGCAAGATGCCGTACTCGTCACAGAAATATGCCGAAATGCATTTCATTTATGGATTGTGCAATGGAAATGCTCGACGTGCTGCCGAAGAGTAACCAAACCGATATCTCCGAAGAGCAGCTTTTCCAGATCATCGTACATTTATTCGTGTCTATGTAGCAAGAGAAATGCCTGGGAGGCGAAAAAGGCCGAGGATTAGCGTAGATGCTGCAGATCTGGTACTACAGTTGACTGAAAAAAAAATAGTTTAAAAACCTAAAAAAACTCGTTTTTATAGCTAACCTAACAATAAATCAGAAAATAATTTTCGATTACAAGAAGTTTATAATACAGTAGTAGATGGTAGAACAATTAATCATAACTAATGACCTCAAAATAAAATTATAATAAAATTTAAGTTATTAACAGAATAATTCAATTCAGAGTAAAAAGCGTGGGGTGCTTGATATATTAATTGTTACAATCATTCTATTGGAAACTATCTATGAGAGGAGAGTTATAAAAATGTAGTAAAATGCATTCTATTCTGAATTGAATTATTCAGTTAATAACTTAAATTTTGTTATAATTTTTTTTTGACGTCATCAATCATGATTGATTGTACAACCATCTACTACTGTAATACAAACTTTTTGTAATCAAAAAAGATTTTCTAATTTTTAGTTCGGTTAGCTATAAAAGCGTGTTTTTTAGTTTTTTTGAACTATTATTTATTTTTCATTTTGTAGTTCGATTTATCAATCAGTTTTTTTGTGGACATGTCATCAGCCCTTGTGCGTGTTGAAAAAACAAAAAAAGATATACCGCATCTGCCTCATGTGAGGATTGAACTCACGAATCCTGCTTTACAGAGCCAGTGCTTTGCCATTTGAGCTACAGTGGCTTGTAATTTCAGTATTCGTAAAGCGGCATACGAAATCCGTGGCTTTTTGTTAACAAATCCGCTTTATATATATCACAAGGATAGTGGAAAACTGTTTATTTAATCAAACTTCTGAAAATTGCTGAAAATTATGGTCAAATATCCCGTTACATACATTCATACAGGCCAAGCTAATATTAGCGTGTTAAAAAGACCCGTCTAGCAGAGCGAAATGCTGGTGTAGCTAGGACGACAGTACATTGAACTCTAATGCAAACCTATCCCCACTTTTATTTGCTGTTTGACTTTTGGGACACCCTGTATTTCCGAGTCGGAAATTTCCAGTATATTTGGCGAAACGTACGTTTATATCACATTTACATTAATGCCATAAAAATTCTCATGTTCGCGTGCCTAGAATGACCAGAAATCATATTAGTCAAAAGGAACGATGATAGACGTCAACGAATAAATCAAGACTAATGAACACTGTAGCATTAATTTGCAAGAATGACTTCTTGCTTAAACGCCCACTTACATGCTCGGGTGTGTCAGGGCCACACCCATGCAGCCCTTTTTCATACAAAGGAATTCAGTGTGCTGGCCTCGAGGTGTTTGAAAGCTATCTTGATGCTATTTTAGCTAAAGAAATTGCGAGAACATGTTATTTCAGCAAAAATGTAGGACAAAAGCAACCATTAGCATATTGTTATAAATTGCAACAATTGATTAGCGACGCTATAGTTCGAAATGAACTTATTCATTCTTCTCGATTTTTTCCTTGTCAAATGGTGACCCTGTTATCACTCAGAGCAAACATACATCCATGTTCTATCATTATCAAGGTATCTCCATGTCTTACTACCCATAAGTAAATTATTCGTTCTCATTTTTTCCTGGCGTTACTTTTCATAAACCTTGTTTTGTCATATAGGACGCCATATTGGGTTTTGCATAGGTAAATAGTTTTTAGTATTGATGCTAAAATGCATAATATGCTAAGCAGTTATTTCAAGGAAACAACATTCTCTAAGTGGGTATTCAAAATGTCAGATAGTCACTTGTTTTATAATATCATCAGCCAAGCATCTTTTCGGTTTCTACAAACTTCGAACAGGTGAAAAGTCTCTATTTCTGGTTCTAATGATGTGTAGGCTACATACCATGATGTGGATAATATACTCTGTGACATATAAATCCGAACACCCAGTTTAAATGATTTATTTTAATAAAAGTTGGTAAATGTATTTATCTTACTGTAAATAACAAGTGAAAAAATTTTCAGCCTTATCAGTTGGACATTCCGGTTTTTATACTACTTTTTTTTAATTCACAGTAAAGCCGCAGTAAAGAATCAACGTTGTCGGATTTTAGTTCTTGACATCCTTTACAATCGGTTACGATGCCTAGAGTACGGAGACCTGTACGATTTCGTCAACTTAGTGAGTTTGATAGGGGCCGTATAGTGGGACTTCGAGAAGCTGGACTTTCTTTTCGGGCAATTGCAGTTAGAGTGCAAAGAAGTGTAGACACTGTGGTTAGGTGTTGTCAGGCATGGCTTCGAGAAGGCCGTACGCAAAGAGCAAGGGGCACTGGACGCCGCCGTAGAACAACAGACCGTGAAGATCACCGCCTAAGATTATTGGCCTTAAGGGACCGTTTCTCCACTACCAGGTCCATTGTAAATGAATGGTTTGCAGAACACGGAAGACCTATTGGCATGCGAAGTGCTTACCGACGAATGAGAAGTTTTGGCTTGTTTTCATACCGGCCACACTGGGTCCTACCTTTAACTCGAGAACACCGACGTAATCGCATTGAGTGGTGCAGACAACGGTCACTCTAGGATCAGGAATGGAACAGTATTGTCTTTAGTGACGAGTCTCGATTTTGTTTAGGCATGCACGATGGTCGTGCCAGGGTTAGAAGGCGACGTGGTGAAAGGAGGAATCCACAGTTTTTTGTTGAAAGATATGTTCATTACACTGTTGGAGTTATGGTTTGGGTTGCTATAGCTTATGGTTCCAGGTCACCTTTAATCTTCATCAGAGGTAACATGAACGCGCAGCGTTATATCCACGAAGTTCTTGAACCCCATCTTTTACCCTATCTTGACACCCTGGCAGATCCAACTTTCCAAAAAGATAATGCCCGACCACATGTTGCAAGAGTCACAATAGACTTCTTTCAACATAATGATGTCACATTGTTACCATGGCCATCAAGATCTCCCGACTTATCCCCAATTGAGCACGTGTAGGATATGATGGGTAGGAGATTGCTCAATTTGCAACGTCCTCCTCAGACTCTAGAAGTACTTCGAGGGGAGTTGGTGGTTGCCTGGAATGAGATACCACAGGAGGACATTGACCACCTGATCAGAAGCATGCCTAGGCGCGTTGGAGAATGCGTAGCACATCAGGGTGCATCCACACATTATTAAAGGTCAAAGGGCTTTAAAGCAGTGCAATCATTTTGAAATTTTTATCATTTACTTCATTAAGTACTTATACAAAATTTTATTAAAATAAAACCATTTAAACTGGGTGTTTGGATTTATATGTCACTTAGTATATTATAAAACTTCAGGTATCTAGAAAAGTAATTCTCCCGTATTTCTTAACTCATCGAGTAAAGGACAACTTGACGTTAAAACTACTTTATCTTATTTAGTTTCTACTAAATAAAAGCCTGGAACGTGTAGCAGCTTCATAAACACATTTTACATCCGCCTTATTCAAAATAATGCACACATCTTGCTAAGACAAAGAAACACGATCTATTCTATTTAACTTAAAGGTACTAAAGTAACAATCAGTGAGTGATACAGTTTGTTGAAAAAGTTCCGGATAACGGCAAATCACCTCGAACACCATTATGTCGGAAAGATAGCGCTCCTATGCGAAGGATTTTTCCCTGTTATGTTGAAGTCTGATTCAAGATCAAGACTATTTTTTACAAAGCCATCTTTGGCTAATAAATGGATAGTAGGATGATGAGTTATTGGCCTCAAAACAAGTTGACCTTGGCATGTCATGATCTACTCATTAAATATCTAATCAACAGTTTCATCTAATAGAAATTCTATCCAAAAACATACTTATGATCTTTCCCTGGATATTGTACTTTTGATGGTTCTTATGTTTTTAACATCGCAAGCGGAGAGAGCGGAGAATTATAAATGAGTCACTGACTTTCAAGAAGTAGCCAATTAAAACGAAAAAAATTCTACCTCAGTGTAGGATCAGGATTTTTGATAGGCCATCTGACATTGAATTTGACCAAAATCAATCAAGGTAATTTCGTGGACAAGTCCACTCGTTGATTAAACACTATGATTTTGACAGGTACAATTTTTTGAAATCTGAGCCTAAGATTTGCACCCTATTAAATTCCAGTGTCAAAAATATAGAGTTAACCTCTCAATTCTAATGGTCATATTCAAGGTTGCCGGGTAAAGGTCCATGCTTTTACAAAATATGTTGTTGATTAGTTATTGTTTATTAGTTAGATGTTGGACTTTGAGCAAGACCTGCAAAGGTTCAATTCTTTGGAAGTCAAGAGCAAACGTGGAAGTTTCCCGTGCAAAAAAATATTCAAATTCGACGACATCGTCAGATCACTTAAACGCACGATGTTTGAGATTATTTTCAGTATCGAGGATTTTGAACGCCTCAAATATTGAGCACCCGGAAGTTAAGCTTATATGAACAAGCTCTTCTTAACACTCTTACGGCAGATGTGGTATTTGGTCCCTACCTTCGTGGCTATTTGGTACAAAAATATATTTATGCAAAACGTTGACAAATACTGGGTATCACATGTTTCTGTCATTGCAACAGAAGTAAGGCTTGTTAAAAACTTGGGTGCGTACTTCATTGACATGACCTCGCTCTAAACCACAATTAAGCTCTAATAGGATGTTTTCGTGTGAACGAAACATTGTCCTTTAAAAAGCGGTATCGGTAGTGGAGAATGATTGTTACTTTAGAAATATATCTTCATTGCATGTCTAAATCACGGCAATCTATATTACTTTACCAAGTATCCAGCAAACTGAACTTTATTAGCTGTATTATCTGTGCCAGCACAATGAATAAGTAACTCGGCTTCGATAGAACCTCTATGGCGTGCTTTTAAGTCGTAACCCTGTTTTGCTGCGACCAAGATTTACTTAAAATTCAAGCAGAGCTTTATTACACTTTTAGGTTCGATATCTGAATTCATGTTAATTTGTACTACATTACCTGTACAGGGGATAGATGCTGGACTTACCAACATAGTTACATTACATAACATTGAAATTAAAAAAAAACTACGACGGAGTGTGTCAATTGACCCCTCGAGTAAGCGTTAGAAAGCTGCGAAATTTTGGCATTGAGAATCTTTTGAAAATTATGCATGCATATAAGATCCTGTAATGGGCTAACCATTCTTGTGTTAGACAGTTTTAGTGTAACAAGGGTAAGCCTTCCATTACGCTACTTTTGACAGTCTCAGCAAGAAGCGACGGTTTGCGAAGGAATAGTTTTCATCATCACCAGAGTGAACCGTGTTAGTATGACAGTACTGAGTACAGACAATCATGACAGGTTCCTTATTTTTCACTTGCCTCTGGTGTGATGCTGATCCTGAAATTTCATAACGTTGTACTTCTTTCAAGGGAAAGTTAAGGTAATGTGTTACAGTTTCTTCTCGTGCTCGAGTAAAAATTAACCTTTTTGTTTATATTCCAGCTACCACGAAGGCCTAAGACCTAAACACCCATGGGTACCGTGGGGCTATAGGGGATACAGGGGAAAAGGTGGAACGCGACACGGACTCAAGCGAGAAAACACGTGTGCATGCAGCATGCACTGATTCTGGCCCCGCCTACGAGATCCGCAGGGTGGTACCTCCGCCTACGACAGTCAGAGACCGTCTACCACCTACATCTACTGTCTTGACAACGTAAATTGTTACAGCGTTCTGCTTATTTAGAATAATAATTTTATAGATGTTCTTAAGAACATTGAATTTAG